GGGGGCTGGAGAGATGGCTCAGTGGTTAAGAGCATTGCCTGCTCTTCCAAAGGTCCTGAGTTCAATTCCCGGCAACCACATGGTGGCTCACAACCATCTGTAAAAAGGTCTGGTGCCCTTTTCTGGCTGCAGACATATACACACAGACAGAATATTGTATACATAATAAATAAATATAAAATAATAATAATAATTTAGGGTTGGGGGGGGGTCGCCACAACGTGAGTAACTGTGTTTAAAGGGCTGCAGCTTTAGGAAGGTTGAGAACCACTGGTGTATATGCTACTAAGGATTGAAGCCAAGGCCTCAAGGTTACCAAAATAAACTTTCTCCCATTGAGCTGTGTACCCAGCCTGCTTGTATTATTCTGTGCAGGGACACATACACATATGCACACACTAACTTTAAAAAAAAAAAAAAACAAGAAAATAAAACAAGAGGCATGATTGGCACACGTGGTGATCCCAGCACTTGGAAGGTGGAAGCTGAAGAACAAAAAGTACAAGGTCACTCTTGGTTACATGAGGAGAGTTGGAGGCAAGTTCAAGTGAAAAGAACATTGCCAGCTGGGCAATGGCGGCACAGGTCTTTAATCCCAGCACTCGGGAGGCAGAGGCAGGCAGATTTCTGTGAGTTTGAAGCCAGCCTGGTCTAAAAGAGCTAGTTCCAGGACAGGCTCCAAAGCCACAGAGAAATCCTGTCTCAAAAAACCAAAACAACAACAATAAAAACAACAACCCAAAAAGCTGGTCATGGTGCCAAGTACCTTACAACCTCAGAACTTAGGAGGCAGAGGCAGGAAGGTGGCCCCAGACCCCAGGCCAGTTTAGGTTCTTAGTGAGATCCTGTCCCAACCAATAAAAAAGAACACTTGCCTAATGTACACAAGGCCTTGAGTTTGATTCCCACACTGTAAAACTAAAGCAGAACCGGTTTCCACATTTGCTAACTGGATTCTCACGCACCCTGGAGTAGCTGTTAAGTGAATGAGACTCGCATGCAGTTACAAACTCTCCCCTCTCTGGCATGCAGCAGTTTAAAAAATTAAGAGTTTTATTCTTTGAGACTTTTATAGACTATATCACCTCCCCTCCCTCACTCCTCCCAGGTCCTTCCTCCTTATTTCACTTTGTGTCCTTTTGTTGTTTTGAAGACATTGTCTTCAAAGTAGACACTTTCCAATCTTTCTGCACCCTCCTCTCTGGCCTTGGGTGAAGGGGTGTGTTTCAGGTGCAGCCACTGGGGCTAGGCACTCCAAGGTCAGTTCTCTGCATTTTGCCCGGTTGTGACTTTCTGGTAACGGTGTCCATCTGCTGCATAAAAGGCTCCTTTGATGAGCGAGAGCTACACTTGTGCCTGGGTTGGAGGGTGAGTATTTCAAAGGCAGTTAGGAAAGTGGCCACAGAAGCTCTTCAGCCAGCATCTGAAACCCATCAGGGGAGCACCGGCGCATAGCAGTGTGAGCTTTTCATTTTCTCTTTCTTTCTTTCTTTCTTTCTTTCTTTCTTTCTTTCTTTCTTTCCTTCCTTCCTTCCTTCCTTCCTTCCTCCCTCCCTCTCTCTTTCTTTTCCTTTTTTTTTTTTTTAACAGATCTTGCCTCAAGTTTGTAAAAACAGTGGAGGTTCCTGACCATCTGCGAATAGTGCGTAGGTGTGTCACCCCGGTCTGTATTCACATTGGCAAACAGAAACCTTTACTATGGGACCTTCACAGGGACCTGGGCACCTTTGGGAGCTTGAGCTGGAGCTGAGGCCTCTGCCTTGGTTTGAACCTTGGGCTTTGGTTTTTGGAGTTGACGCCCTTTGGCCATGTAGCTTCTAATCTGCCTCCCAAGCTTCATTGGGGAGCAATGAAAGCCAGACGGCTGAGTTTGCGGCTGGGGCCCTTGGACTTCACTGGGGCCTTGCTGGCCTCTGCACGTGTGCCCATGGCCTTTGCCTTGTCTGCCTTGCATCTTCTTCAGGCCTTTCTTCTTGTGCTCCTTGGCAAAGCTCGTGTAGATTCGTATCTTTGTGACTGGGGTTTCTTGGTGCCATTTCTGTGCCGTTTTCAGGACTGGTTGTGTGTGGTGTGGTTCTTGAACTTAACCGAGTCTGAATGGTAACTGGGAGCTCCTGAAGCATCTGGGAGCTCGTTGCATGGACTAATGTAGCTGTTGTTTTCACGAGATGTCCTCAGTAGGAGACTTGGAGGTAGAGCACTGGGGGGAAAGGAAGGCATGGTGGTTGGTGTCTTTATTTTTGCTGCTGTTGTCATTTCTGTAGGTGGTGCTTCGGTCTGGGTGCTTGCCTCAGACTCGCCCTCCACAGAGAGCTATGTGAGTAACGGAAGTCTGCCCTGCCCATCTACAAGTTCAAGTCGGCCTCACAGAACGGAAGGCCACGACTCCACAGAAGAACCCAACAGCTCGTCAGTGACTGAGACACCGACATCTAAGTCCCAAGATCAGATGACATCACCTACTCTTTCAGCGTCACCCTAGAGCAGAGGCACAGCAGGGCCCACAGAACAGGTGACATCAACAGTACACACCCCTGCCATGACAGTCACTAAGAGCATGCCACTGTCAGATTCCACAGTGACCTCTGCAGTAAAGGAATCGATAGTGACATCCAAAACCACAGTTTTATTCAGCTTGGCCATTTCAGCTGAGACCCCACAAATGAATCAAATTCCACTGTCATCAACACTGGACAAAGCCAGGGACACACACGAACCTTTACCCACAACAACCACGGCAGTTACAAACACCTCTTCACCCACCACAGTCGCCCTGGGGACAAATGTTCTCAGCACAGCCACAGCTGAGACTCAGGAAAAAGACACTGCAGCTGTACCCCCAACCCCAGCGACAACCCCCACAACAAGCAAACCACCAGACCCACAGTGCAGCTCTGTGACACAGACGCCTTCCCAGCCAGCACAGACAGACTCAAGCATAGGCCCTGGTACAACCCAGTCACCTAAACATCCCACAGGCCTTGTCCATAACGCCTCAGAGACAACCAAATCCTCCACTATAATTGGGACCAGTCCAGCACCCCCCAGCTCAAGCCAGAGTAGCGGTCCAGGGGGTGGTGCCTGTGCTTTGGATGAGTATCTAGACAGCACCAGAGGCTGTAGGTGCAACAAGAGCTACTATTCCCACTTGGGTAAGTCTGAATAATCCTTCAAGGAAGTCTATTGCTGCTGCTGCTACTGCTTCTCCTCCTCCTCCTCTTTCTCTTTAATTTTAATTTATGTACATGGATTTAAATATGTAAATAACAAGAATAACACGTATAAATGAACCAGATAACTGGCCAGGACAAGTGCAGTCAGGGAACTCTGAGAAGGCTCAGCGGAACCCTGTCCAAAGAAGCTGGTAAGACATGAGCATGGAATGAGTCCATTCAGAGTTGGCTGAGCAGATGAGACCTACCTTGCCCCAGCCCCAGCCTGCAGCCCCCAGGACCCGAACTGCTGTCCAGGTACTGATGGGGATTACAGGCATATATGACCTGCCCAGCTTTGGTACACACACACACACACACACACACACACACACGCCAGGTTCTAGCGTCCAGCTTGGAATGAGAGAAAAATTGGAGAATAAACAAATTAACCCCTTGAAACCCCAATCTTGCCAGACAAGTTAGAGACACCAGCTGCCTTCGCCAAAGTCAATCTCTTTCACTGAGGCCCAGACCAGGCTTCCTTGGTTCCCTGGGGGCTGAAAATTGAAGAGTGTGGCAGGAACACGGAGCCACCTCCTTCTTTTCTTCTTACCTTTCTGGCTCTGTCTCCGGGCTTCATCTATTCCTGTATCCACCGCCCAATCCTCAGGCTACCTGGCTCCAAGATGGGAGCCTCATCCCCCCCAAAGCGTTGTTGTTTAGTCAAGGTCTCTTAGTCCAGAGCAGCCCTGGCCACTGAAGACGAGCTTCAGCTCCTGATCTTCCTGCCTCTGCCTCCTAAATTCTGGGATTACAGGCGGTCGCCATTATGCCCTATCATGTGGCACTGGAGATCAAATGATGGCAGGCAAGCACTCTGCCAGCAAAGCTCCTTCCCAGCTCCCACAGACGCTTTGTGACCCAGGCACTAATTCTCGGAAAAGAGATCTTAAGGACCTGTGAGGGCCAGGATCAGGATCCTACAAGACATGGGTGAGATCTGTATGTGTGTGTGTGTGGGGGGGGGGGTTGAGACAGGGTTTTTCTGTGTAGCCCTGGCTGTCCTGGACTCACTCTTTAGACCAGGATGGCCTCAAACTCACAGAAATCCACCTGCCTCTGTCTCCTGAGTGCTGGGATGAAAGACATGCACTTCCACACCCAGACATGTTTACAATTTTAACAATTATTATGTGTGCATTGTGTGTGTGTATTGGGGGTACACTTGCAATGATGAAGAGGTCAGAGGACAGCTTTGTGAAGTCACTCCTTTCCTTTCACCTGTGGGCCCTGGGAATTGACCTCAGGTCTCCATGGCAAGCCTTTACCTACTGAACCATTTTGCTGGCTGTGTTTAAGGGAGTGGAGAGTGGACCAATATCCCCAGTCTTCTTCACCCACCTGAGGAAAAGTATTCCTTCTCATGGTATCATCCCAGGATCCTCAAGAGACCCCGCTCCTGGCTCTTGTTCCCCTGCAGAACTATCCAGGGAGATAGGGATCCTGCGCTGCAAACCAGAGGTCATTGAGGTGGCTCTGAGGAGCTGCTTCTTGAAGCATCAGCACTGGGTCCTGAAGAAAGATGTCTTCTCGGGGTGTTCAAGTACCAATACAACAGACCAGGGTCACCGGGTCCAGGTCTTTCAGTTGGAGAAGAAGGAAGGAACTTGTGGACTCCACATCTCTGTAAGCTGACTCTAGGGAAAGGGGAAAGTCCTGGGGCAGAGCTGGGAAAGCTGTGGGGGCGGGGCCAGGAAGCTTGTGGGAGGGGTTGGGAAGGCACAGGGTGGGGAAAGCTCTGGAGACTGGGCTGAGACAGGAGAGGTTGGGTAACTCTTGTCTTGGGTGGTCTCAAATCTTAGCCATCAGACCAGTCTTGTTGAGGAAAATGGCCAATCTGTCTCCAGAGTGGGAATGCATTACATGTGCTGTATTTGCTGAATTGGGGTCTTGGTTCCCAAACTCTCAGCCACGAAACACTTTAAAAGAGCAACCACAAGCAGTTTTTTACGGATTTCTATCCAAATGCCATGTCTATCAATTTATTTTTAATGGTTCTAATCTTGAGAAGTTCTCATTATAGATAAGGAATCCATAGCTCAGAGAATCTAAGGGATTTTCCCAAATTACAGTTGGAACTTGAGATAATCCTCCTGCCTCAGCCCCCTGAGTCCTGGGATTACATGCCTGCACCAGCATTCAGAGACTAGTTTTATAAGGACAACGCAATTCACATAAATAATAGAATGCCGCCAAACAACAGCAGTGCCCCTAAAGCCTCCATCTCTTGATCAGAACTCATCTTTTTCTTCCTTCCTTCTTTTTTTCTTTCTTTCTTTCTTTCTTTCTTTCTTTCTTTCTTTCTTTCTTTTTTCTTTTCAGTGCTGGGGAGACTTAATGTGTGCCAGGCAAACACTCTAAAACTGAGATACATCCCCAGCCCTAGAACCTGGAATTCTTATTTTAATTTAACTAATTTATTTAGAGATACACTCTCACTATGTGGCTGGCACAGAACTCACTATATAGACCAGGCTGGCCTAGAACTCACAGAGATCCACCTCCTCTGCCTCCCAGTAAGCACTAAAGGTGTGCACCACAACACCTGGCCCAGATTTAGGTTTTTTTAGTTTGTTTGTTTGTTTGGTTTGGTTTTTGTTTTGTTTTAGAAACAGAGTCTCTCTATGTGGTCATGGATATCCTGGAACTTTTTATGTAGACTAGGTTGGCCTCTGCCTCCCCAATGATGGGGTTTAAGATATATACCATTACACGTAACTCCGACTTAAAATTCTCTCTCTCTCTCTCTCTCTCTCTCTCTCTCTCTCTCTCTCTCTCTCTCTCTCTCCCTCTCCCTCTCCCTCTCTCTTGTTTGTTTTTTATTTTCGAGACAGGGTTTCATTGTGGAGTGTTGGCTGTCCTGAAACTAGCTGTGTAGACCAGGCTAACCTCGAACTCACAGAGATCCCCTGCCTCTGCCTCCAAAGTGCAGGGATTAAAGGTGTGTGCCACCACCAGCCATCCAGACTTAGAATTCTTAACAGCTCAGGGATCCTATTTTTTTTTACCCAAGAGATTCCAAAAATGCAAATTGAACTAAGAAAACTGAGATAGGAGGATTGGAAGTCTCAGGATAGCCTGGGCTACACAGAGCAAGATATTCTTCCTGGGCAGTTAAGAGTTCACATCGCAGAGGACCTGAGTTCTCCCAGCACCAGCGCCAGCAGCTCACAAGCATTTAAAATCCAGATCCAGAGGTTCTGGCGCCCTCTTCTGTCCTCTTCAGGAACCTGCACTGTGAAACACATTTAGGTAGAGAAGTACACACATGTGCATGATTTTCAAAATAAAATAAGCCTTTAAAATGCTCTCTCAAAACAACCACCACACTATCACACCAAAAATAAAAACAGCCCAGATACAGTGGTGTGTGCAGATACGCTCAGCACTTGGGAAGCAGAGGCAGGGAAAGGTTCAGGACCATCCTTGGGTACATAGTTGGACACTAGTCTGGGCTACATAATGCCCTGTCTCAAAATAAAGTAAAATAAAATAAATATTAACATTTTAGGACCATGGAGTAAGAACCTCCATTGGAAACTCTGAGTTCAATTCCCAGAACCATAGACATTGGGCATTGTGACATAAACTGTTAATCCTGGTACTTGGGAGGTGGAACCAGACATGTCAGGAGTTCAAGACCATCCTCAGCTACATAGTCACAAAGACCAGCCTGGTCTACATGAGACCCCATCTCAAGAGAAGAAACTTAGAACCATGGCAGGGGGGATAAAGTGATGGTCCCTGGGGTCAGAGTGCTGTGGGATTTAAGCTGTCACTTGCTGGGGACATCTTTTAACCTTTCTGAGCCTTCTTTTACTCTTTTATAAAATGGGGCCAATAAAGGAGTGCTGTGTTCAAGCCAGAGAACCAGGCTCAAAGAACTTCGACTACAGCTTTTATTGAAATAAACACCTTGTTGCCAGAGAGGATGGGAGGTGTTGACCCCAGGGACTTGTGGGTAGTGTCTGCTCACCTACCTGTCTTTTCTAGACCAACGTCAGCCATGCCCTGCACTCTGTGAATGTGCACCTTGAACAGGCTCGCCTTGGCTCTGGCTCAAGAGTGCTCCACTTCAGCTGTGTGTACCCCCTGGTGGTGAACGTCAGCAAGCCCATCTCCTACCAGGAGGCCTCCATTCCATGAGTTAAGTCCCATCAGCTGTCTCTGTAGCTAGGCCACCCCCAAGTTCTCACTGCTACCTTGAATCTAGTCAAAGCCTCAACACTCTCAAGAAATCGGCCCCCACGCTCACCCACCATATGTAAGCATCTCTTACATGGACAGAGAAACAGGATGCTTCTGGGAAGAGATGCGTTATGGGTTGTTTACGTAAATTACCATGAAGTTAGATATCTGCCAAGGTCTGGGGACCTATGATGTGACACTTCATAGTTTATGTGGTCCATGAGGAAGGTGACCAGGTTTGCTCCTCCTGGCCATCTTTTCTTCATTTTATATTTATTGGAGACCCCCAAACACTACTTCATCATGAAGTACCATCCCACTGCAGATGGTGACCTCATGGAAGCTGCCTTGCAGAGTTCCCTCCCTTATTCTTTAAGGCAGGATCTCCCATTGATCTCAGACTCATCAAGCAGGGCTAGCCTGGTTGAACAGCAAGCCCTGTGGGTCTACCTGTCTCTCTGGTAGTAAGTTCGCAAGCACGCCATTATGCCTGGGCTTGATCTCAGATCCTCGGGCTGTACAATAGGGTGCTTTTACCCACTCCCTTCCCTCTGAGGGCTCACTCTTGTTTCTCTCTGGATACAGCACTGTCCACATTCCTGGCACTGGAAAGACTGTCATCGCCCTGAGCGTCTCCACAGACCTCCAACTCCACAAACCACTCGAGGACCATGCAGCTCCCGTGGGCATGCCCCTCTACGTGGTCCTCAGATCCACCAGCAGTGATCCTGACCGGTTTGCGCTGGTGGCTAATGAAGTCTTTGCCAGGGACAACCTCTCCAACACAGTGGCTAAGGACACCTATCATTTTGTGAATGAGAGGTAAGGACCAATCAGGCTCCAGCTCTTGGTCTGTGACTTAGGCAGGTACTTTTGTTCCCATGAGCACAGACACCCCCCCCCCATTCTTTTCGGTATCTCTGGCAAACAAAATGGGGAAGGAAGGAAGGGATCGGGGAATGCTGGTTGAGCGAATGCATTCAGACGCATTTTACAGATGAGTAAACTGAGGCCCAGGGAGATTAAAACCTGCTCAAGATCTCACAGTCAATAGGTGAGATTCATTTCTTCTGTTCGTTCACCCAGATGGTTATTGAGGACCTGTGATGAGATTTAGAAATATAGCATTACCATGCCAGAGTTCCATATGCTATGTTGTTATTGAAGTAGACTACATGGAATAGCTAACGACAGCTAATAATTTAGTTCTTTACAAATAATATTTATTTCACGCTGGATGTAGTTTGAGTCACATCACACATATCAATTAATTTAAATCTTACCACACACTGTGACATAGTTAGATTTTGATTAGCATCTTACACAAGAAGCTAAGACTCAGTTCAGGTGCATGGGAGGTGACTGTGTTCAGTGTTGAGCACAGTCGGGCCAGAGTTGAGCCTCTTAGTCGGGTGTGCTGGTATATGCCCCAAATCCAAGTACTTGGGAGGCTGAGACAGAAGAATTACTTAGAATATCAGGTTAGACAAGTAAGACAGCAAGACCCTATTTTTTTGTTTTGTTTTGTTTTGTTCTATTTGGTTTTATTTTCAAGACATGGTTTCTCTGTAGCTTTGGAGCCTGTCCTGAAATTGGCTCTTGTAGAGCAGGCTGGTCTCGAACTCACAGAGCTCCACCTGTCTCTGCCTCCTGAGTGCTGGGAGTAAAGGCATGCACCACCACTGCCTGGCATGGGAAGACCTTTTTTAAAAACATAATTATAAAATAAAATAAAAACTGGGTATGATAGTGCATGCCTGTAACATAAGCAATCAGAAGGGAGATGTGGGGTGATTGAGAAGTAAAAGCTGCCTGCAGCTACATAGAGCAGGACAGCTTATGCATACCTGATATCCTGACTCACAATGAGATGGGGGGGGGGAGAATGTCTTACTTCCATATCAAATTTCAATAATATTGACAATAGTTTTCGTAGAAGCATAGGGATTACTCATCAGCTCACAGAGCATCCCAGGAAGGATTATTTCCTCCGCTGCACAGATGAGAGCAGAGGGTTGAGTGTGACCAAGGGCTGGTCATGCTCAATGTGGTCCCGAAACACACTCTTGAATTTGCCCTAGCCTGTAATAAGCTTTTCCTCTATTCCTGAGGTTCTGGGGTTCCCACCGGGGGCCAGCATCATGCTAGAACACCCTGGCCCAAATTTGAGGACCTACCTAACATCTCCAAACCTAAGTTTCCTCCTTTTTTAAAAAAAGAAAAAGGAGCCGGGTGATGGTGGCGCACGCCTTTAATCCCAGCACTCAGGAGGCAGAGGCAGGCGGATCTCTGTGAGTTCGAGACCAGCCTGGTCTACAGAGCTAGTTCCAGGACAGGCTCCAAAGCCATAGAGAAACCCTGTCTCGAAAAACCAAAAAAATAAGAAAGAAAGAAAGAAAGAAAGAAAGAAAGAAAGAAAGGAAGGAAGGAAGGAAGGAAGGAAGGAAGGAAGAAAGAAAGAAAGAAAGAGAAAAAGAAAGGGTAGGGGACTGGAGAGCTGGCTCAGCAGTTGAAAAGCACTGGCTGCTCTTGCAGAGGACCTGGGTTGGGTTCACAGCACCCACATGGCGTTACAACCATCTGTAACTCCAGTTCCAGGTGATGGAACAGCACCCTCTTCTGACCTCCATGGGTACTGTACTTCTGTGCTGCACAGACATGGGCAGGCATAAGATAATAAACACTTAAAAATGGGGAGCAGTCAAAAGTATGGTCATCCTCAGGATATGGTTGTAGGAATGAAATTAATCTATGTAAAGTTAGTTCTCAGCAGGAACACCCACAATTACACAGAACACGTTAAAGTGGCCGAAATCAAACTTTGCATGTTGACACCTGGGGCCCTAAGCCTGGGTCCCAAAGAACAGCGCTAGGGCTTTCTCCCCGCAGGTGCCCAGTCGGGGACCGGCTGCTCCAGGACTTGAACAATGGAGTCTCTGTACAGGTGACACTGGCCTTCACTCTGTCGCGATTCTTGAATAGTGACATGCTCTACCTACACGCCCAAGTGACCCTCTGTGACAAGCAAGCGTCCCGCCCATGCCAGCCGGTGAGTGGGGTTCCTGAAGCCCAGCCATGCAGCCACCGGGACTGGACCGAGGGTGGTCATGTGCTGGCCTCCTTTTACCCGGGACTGACTTAAAGAGGGGCGTTTGAAGCCCTAGATCTTGTAGGTGGAAATGGGAAAGCTTATTTGAATTGTGGGGTAGTGGAACACGAGTCTTTGAGGTCCTGGGAAAAGTCCCCACACTGTCTTGTCACCTACAGTCTTGTAGTGGAAAGAATTACCTGCGGAGAAATTCACCCTGGGACTCTCGAGTTGGGACCCGTCTGGAACCTGGCGGTAGCAAGTGGATCGTATTTGGGCCTCTCCGAATAAGCGGCACATGGATGGACCTTTGGAGGGCGTCCCCAGCTTCTCTGCCAAGACCTTCCTAATGTGTTGTTCTGAGACCCTGAGCTTCCACTGAGTCGCCCCTCACCTTCTGGTCTTCACACTCTTCCCCTGTACCCAGGGTCCTCTCTGAGCCCCATTCTCCCTCTCTCTCTGGACAAGTCCCTGCAACCAGCCTGGCCTCTGCGCTCATCTTAGCTTCTCTGCTCATTACTGTGGGAAATCACACATATGGACGCAGCTTAAAGGTTCCTGTGGCTCACGGTTCAAGGGTCCCGTGCAGTGTGTCAGGGGATCGCGGCAGCAGGATTGCTGGCTTTCTCACCTCACATCTGCAGCCAGGAAGCAGAGAGCCAGGAACACACGCTAGTGCTCAAACTCACTTTCTGCATTTTCAACAGTTCAGGGTCCCCAGGCCAGAGAACTGGTGGCTTCACTACAATGAAGATGGTTCTTCCCGCATCAACTAATGTAATCGAGATCCTTCCACACAGGCATGCCCAGAGTCTTCCAGGTGACTCTAGATTCTCAGGTTGGCAACACTAACCCATCATGTCACTCTCAGGTCTGGGCCATCTTCATTTCCAGCGTCTCTCTAAACCATGTTTTTAAATTTTACTTGTATGAGTGTTTTGTCGGCATGTATGCCTGTGGAACACCTGTGTGCCTGGTGTCCACTCGAGGCCAGAAAAGGGCATTTGATCCCCTGGAATTGGAGTCACAGATAATTGTGAGTCACTTTGTGGGTGCTGGGGATCGAACCTGCTTCTCCTGAGGGAGCAATCAGTGCTCTTAACCACTGAGCCGTCACTCCAGCCCCTCAGACTCTATCTCCTTTCTTGCCAAGCAACCTACTCTGCTCATGCTGTCTTTCGCGCCAGCCTCTCTTTGGTCATTACTCCTGGCCCGGTACTCTCTCTCCTTTCTAGTCTATAAGAGTCCTTTTGCCCTCACTGGGAAATCCCACGCTTTCGGGAATTCCAGGATATCTCATCCTTCTGAGTCCCCAGTTTTCCAAAATCTGCCAGCCTCTTTTGTCTAATCCCGGTGGAACGGTGGGTGAGTGCTGGCCATGTCCGGGGCACTTAGAACTCAATCTCTCTTTTCGTGTGGTTGCAGAGCCCAGAGCCTCCAGCAGCAGGAGCAGAGCAGGTTAGTACAAGAGGACCGCTCTAGTGAAGTAAGTTCTCACGTGACACGCTCAGGCTGCTGGTCATTTTGCACGCTGTTTCTTCTGAGCTGTGCGGCCAAGAAGTCAATTAACCTCTCTCAGTAATATATGGAGTAATATATGGCAGAATTAATGTGGGGCTCTTGCTTTATCCGGCCTCAAAAAATCTGAAACTACCCAGAAATGATTCCAAGTAAGGCTTGAAGATTTAAAGTGCCCTGGGCACCGTGGAGCATGCCTGAGCCCAGAAACTTTGAGTCAGCCTGTTCAAGATAGCAGACCCTGCTCCACATAAAGCCAGGTGTGGTGGCTTACCCTGGAATCCCGGCACTTAGGAGGTGCAAGCAGGAGAGTTAGGTGTTTAAAGCCACCCTTGGCTACAGAGCAACTTTGAGGCCAGCCTGGACCATGTATCTCAAAGAAAAAGAAAAAACAGCAGTGTATTTAATAACACTCCTAACTGAGGATGCTCTGTGAGTACAGGTACTTGATGCTAAGCTTGATGGCCTGAATTCTATCCCTGGGACCCATGTGTGGATAGAGGGAACCCAAGAATATGTCCTCTGACCTCAACATGTACACCACAACATGCACACATAAGTAAATAACTAGAATAAAAAGAAATATTTAAGGGGCTGGAGAGATGGCTCAGCGGTTAAGAGCATTGCCTGCTCTTCCAAAGGTCCTGAGTTCAGTTCCCAGCAACCACATGGTGGCTCACAACCATCTGTAATGGGGTCTGGTGCCCTCTTCTGGCCTGCAAGCATCCACACAGACAGACTATTGTATATGTAATAAATAAATATTTAAAAAAAAAAGAAAAAAAGAAAAAAGAAAAAAAGAAATATTTAAAAAGGCTCATAGACTCTGAAAGCTCCTCAAATCCCACTTTGAATACTTATTTTTTTATCTTTTTTTAAGATTTATTTATTTATTATGTATACAACATTCTGCCTCGATGTATGCCCGCACGCCAGAGGAGGGCACCAGATCTCAGTAAAGATGGTTGTGAGCCACCATGTGGTTGGCTGGGAATTGAACTCAGGATCTCTGGAAGAGCAGCCAGTGCTCTTAACCTCTGAGCCATCTCTCCAGCCCCTGAATACTTATTTTTATTTTAAATTCTGTGTATACATGCTTGTGTGATATGCACGTGAGTGCTGGCATCCGTGGAGGTCAGAGGTGACCGACTGCCCTGGGACTGAAGTTACAGACTACTGTGAGCTGTCTGATGTGCCTGCTGGGAACCAAGCTGAGGACCTCTGCAGGAGCTATGTGCTCTTAACTGCTGTGCCACCTCTCCAGCCCCCTTAGTCTATTTCATAATCATTTCTTTCTTTCCTGCAGGAGCCTGGATGTCCATCTTGCTCCTGATGGTGACTGGCTGGATGCTGGACTAAAAGCTGGTCCAGCCTCCCCACTCCAACACGAGCGCTTAGTGTCTAGTTTCCTTGCCTCAGCCAAGGATGGAGCGGAGGAAGACTTGATGAGAGGCAAGTGTGACCTCTGTTAGGCACCAGAGGACCAGTGTGTAGCCCAGCGTTGGGAAGACTGTGGCGACTGCCTGGTGGATTATGCTCTCTTGTCATGCCTTTGTTTCCTATCCTTGTAGCTCATAGGGGAGGGCGTGTGATTAGACCACTCAACATGAGGGGGAAAGTAGAGAGTTTATGGCCAATAAACACACAGAATTCTACTTTTTCTGACGTCTGTCTCTATAATTTGACCTTAAGGCTTCAGTGCTCCAAGTTAATGGACTGAAGGGTTGGAAAGGGAGGAGGGGGGTGGCAGCCTCTTTTTTTTTCCTTTGGGGCTTCCTCTCCACACAGGTAAAATGGAATTGTTGACCTGATCAGCTTGGGAATCATTCTCAGGAAATCCTTGGGCCTTAGTCAGCTACTTTCTCTCTCTCTCTATATTTTTTTTTCCTGCAAAATGGCCGTCCTGTTGCCCAAGCCTTTTCCTCCTATAGCTTCATAACCTGTGGCCGCCTTAGGCCACCTTTCCTATTTGAGAGCGATACAGCTGTCGTCCCTCATTCGTCCCAAACAAGAATCTTTTCCATACCTGGGACTATGTTATGCCCCGGGGATGAGGGCTGGAAGGAGGCTGTAGACCAGGAGACAAGACAGACTTTAGCTGTGCATGAGAGACCCAGACCCCCGGAAGATCTGTAGCCTTAGCACGATCCCCAAGCACCCTGACTCTGAACCCAGAGCCAGGGAAAGAAACACACCCCGGATCTGGAACCTGAGACGGGGGGGGGGGGGACATTTTATCCCTGAACCCCGAGCTAGATGAAAACACCCTGACCCTGAAACCAGAGCCAAAAGAACATACTTTGTCCCTAGAACCAGAACCTGTTAAAGGAATTCACCCTGGCCCTAAAATTAGAGCCTAACAGATAAAAAGGACCAGAGAAAGAAACACAGTTTGGCCCTGAAATCAGAGCCACCTCTAGCTGACACGAAACCAACCAATCCCTGAGCAGGAAAACTGGCCAATCCCTGAGTAGGCAGCAGTAACCTCTAGTCTAGAGTAGTGACCTCTCCCTGAGACACCATGGACTCCTCCCCCTAACAAGAGGAGTCAATCAGAAGCAGACAATCCCCTCACCCCATAGGGGGCAGCCAATCCCTAGCCTACGGGGATTCCACAAGCCTTTCCCACTATAAAAACCCCCTCCCCTCGCTGCTAAGGGTCTCGGGAAGGCCCGAGTTAACTCGCAATATGGTTTTCGCTTTGGGATTGGACGCGACCAAGTGGTAAAATATTGAGGATCCGGACTTTGGGCATCACAGTTAACAGCCAGGCAAGCCACGCGAGGCACTGTGTACCTGGAATCCCAGCTACCTGGAGACTGAGGCTGGAGGATTATTCTGAGTTTGAGACCAGCCTGGGCTATATATCAAGACCCCGCTTCAAACAAATAACAAACATAAACAAAACAGAAAGATGGACGAAGGTGTTGCTCGGCGATAGCATGCATAGCATATGAAGGGTGTGAGTTTGAGTCCCCAATCGGCAATAAACTCATACGAAACCAAAACATACATACTCCAAGAAAAAAAAATCAGTTTTTTATTGGACCAATCAGGTGCCTTAGGCAGGTAAAGCAATAAATACATCTTCACATCGTTAAACAAATCCAATGCATCTTTACATAATTAACAGTCTGCAACCGTACAGGCTTCTTGGAAAAGACTCACACTCAACTAGCTCACCCTAGTTACTTTATTTAAACCAATACAAGGTTGACAAGTGCTGGCAAAGGCTCCAACTACCAAAGTCATACCAAAGCTTCAAACTACCAAGCCATAATCAAAAGTAAAAACTCAGGTCTGCCAGGAGTGTCTTCGGACCAAGGTCGGTGCAGTGGCAAGCTCTCACGCGGCACCAAGTGTAGACTCCAGAGAAACAACTCTTTAAGGTTGTAACAGTCTAAAAACAATTCCCCAGCCTCTACTAATTAACCCAAACATGGCAAGGGCTTTGCAGCACCATTTCTCAAAGCCAGACACAAAGGCTTTGGTATACATTTCACTTAAAGCCAGACATATAAAGGCTTTGCTTGTACATCACTACAGAGGCCTACAGAGGCCAAAAGAAATGCTGGATCCCCTGGAACTGGAGTTATGACCAGTTGTGAGATACAATGTAGGTTCTAGGAACCAAACCCAGGTCCTGTGGAAGAGCCGCAGGTGCTCTTCAAGGAGCCATCTCTCCAGTCCCAAATCTAGTCTTTTCACTTTTCATCGTGCTAGTTGGGATACTTTCATTAATATATTTTATTAAATATGCAGCAAATCTTTTAAAAATAATGAAGTATTATTATTTCACAGGTAGGATAGGATGACCAGAAGTTCAAGGTTTCCCTGAATTACAAAGTGAGTATGAAACCCCTGTGTCAACAAAGAAACAAACAATAATAAAGTAACTTAAAATGAAGAATAGTCTTTGAAGCGAGAACCTAAAGACTGCTGAAATATGAGAACTCATTTTCATATGAAAATGATCACATGATGGAGGTACTGCTAAACTACAGAGGGAAACTGAGCCGACATATTTATTCACCCCAGTAATCTCAGCACTTGAGAAATGGGTGCAGAAGGATTAGTTCAAAATTGACCTTGGCTGTAAAGCAAACTCCAGGCTAGTCTGGACTACATGAAACCCTGTCAAAAACAAAATAAGGGGAAGAAGCCAAGAACAATTGATTCAGACCCCAGCATATTAAGTGGCTCACAAATGCCTATAAGCCCAGTTCCAAGGGATCCAGTGCCTTCTGGCTGAGGGTACTGGCACACAGACACACACACAAATAATAAAACCTTAAAGTATATATATACAAGAACCCATTCAGGTGGCCAAATCAGAAGTACCAGGAGTCTGAGGTCCAGCCTGCGCTAAATAGCAAGACCCTGTTGAAGAGCAGGAATGTATAAACACACTTTTTTTTCCTGACAGGATCTCACTGTGTAGCCCAGGCCAGCATCAAACTCCTGAGCCTCCTTGCCTTAGCCTTTTGAATTGTGATTACAGACATACTCCATCTTCCAGCTCATTAACGCACACAGCTTATAGATTTAAATCCCAGCATTTTCACGGTTGAACTTTCTTCTCTTTTCAGGACCAGCTCTTGTCCTTGCTCCCGGCTTCCTCAGAAAAGAAGCAGAAGCTATCAAGTGGGAAAACTCAAATTTCTGTTCATTAGTTTATAAATTCATTTTTAGACATCCAGATTTAACGTTCATAGTAATAAAGCCCTGTTCCTAATTTCTAAATTCTTCTGTCATTTCCAGGTTCAACAGCCATCCATTAATTTGTTATTCTTAAATGTCTTTAACTTTTATGTGTGAATGCAGTGTGTGTGTGTGTGTGTGTGTGTGTGTGTGTGTGTGTGTGTATTTGTGCTCGCCAGTGGAGGGCAGAAGAGAGAGTTGTGAGCGGCCAGACAAGGATGCTGGGAATCAAACTTGGGACTCTTGAAAGAGCAGCCCTCGCTCTTAGCCTCTGAACCAGCTCTCCAGCTCCTCATCATTAACTATTAATAGGCAGTGACCCAAGCAGGTCACTGGCACCCCTGCCCTCCTCGTTCCTGAGGGAGGGGAATGAGGCAGGTTGTGGGGGAGTCCCCGCCCCTGCCGAAGCCCAGCAGCTTCCCGAAGCCTCGCTGGCACAGCGCCACCTAGAGGCAGCACCGGGTAAGGAGCGAGGAATCCGAGCTGAGTAGCCGCTGGGTCATGCGCAGAGCGATCCGCCGGTCTCGCACCGCCTACGCAGTGATCCTCCCGCCCACCACCCAGGGCTCCGTGCAGGGGCGGGACTCCCGAGCGGCCCGAGTCTCCATTGGTCAAAGGAAGGCAGAAAGAGGCGGGACAGCCACATGCTTCGACTTTCTATTGGTCAGAAGCCAGCAGAAAGGGGCGGTGCCGGGCGGCGCGCGCTTGGAAGAGGCGTGCGGCCTGACGGGCGTGTAACGGCCGTTAGGCGGCCTCAGGAGAGGATTCGCGACTCGCGCGGACGTGGTGGCCGCCGGCAGTATCCCGGGGAGGGATCTCGCCGCCCGCTCTCGGGGCTCTCTGTAAGCTCTTCTTGGGGGCTCCCGCCGCGGCGGCCGACCCTGTCCCTCTTTCCGTAGCCCCGGGAAAACCTTGGAAACTCGGGACCTACAGGGGGTGGGGGGGGGCGTGGGGAGGGTGCCCGGGACAGCGCCCGGGAGAGCGAGGCGCATGCGCAGGTGGACCTGGCCGGAATGCCGGCCCAGGCTTTGCTCGCCCCGGCTCCGTTTCCTGGATAACGATCCCCACACGCCCCCTCGGGTCCCCGTCGCCTCCCCTCCGCGCCTCGCTGTCCCCCGCCGTTAACTCCGTTGCAGTTGCCATGCTCGTGTGCCAGACGCCCCCTGCCCTCGTAGGGCCCGCGGCCCGCGGGGCAGACCCGGGGACAGAGTCAGACGGTCCGCGAGTGTTGTCACTCGGCTGGTGGAGGGGACACCTTTCCCAAAGGGTCGGGAACAGAAGGCGCTGGTCAGGGAGCCATTCTCGCCGAGGTGGCGTCGGAGCTGAGGAGCGGAACGTTCTGGGGGGGGCAGAGGGCGCCTGGGAACGGCCTAGACCCGCGAAGAAGCGGGAGATGCTTCCAGAATCCCCGTACGTAGGGCAGCCTCCCACCCCCAACCCGGAGTGAGTGAAGCCGAGGTCAGTGGTGTCAGTGGAGGAATCTGGTCCGAGGCTCGAGATGAATCGAAAATTAAGTGTGTTCAAGTTTGTCCAACAGAGTATTAAAACCTTTGACTTTTAGTCAGTCAAGAAGGCCAGACCAGGTCGGGTTTGGTTTTGTTGTTGAAATACCGAACTTTAAAGAAGCCCTCGGCCCTGTTGAGGCAAGCACTCGACTACTGAGCTATGGCCTCTGCCCCCCCCCTCCCTCCCTCTTCTTTCTGTTATTTGCTCTTCCTGTGTAGTTCAGGCTGGCATGGAATTTCTGTTTATGCCAGGCTGGGCTTTTGTTGTTGTTTTGGATTTTTGAGACAAGGTCTCACTGTGTAATCCTGATTGACCTGGAACTCGCTCTGTGAGATCCTCCTGCCTTTACCTCCCGGGCTGTCTTGCGTTCATGTTATTTGAAATTGCAGGCTCGCACCCAGCC